CCCCCCCCCAGTAATAGCATCCACTCCTCGGTTTCTTCCTCCTACCTTCCCTTTCCACCAGAAGATGTTTTGGAAAATACTCTGACTCATATTTATAGATAGAGCTAAGGGACAGCAAAACTCAGGACACTCAAATGATTTAATTAGCTGGAAGTTTCTGTGCCGCTCTATATAACAACTTAAGACAAGAGTTTAAGAGGAGAATCAGTTGCTGTCATTCATTATTACTCTTATTATTTTGTCCCTTTGAGCTTGTAACCAGGCTCCTTCGTATTTTTATTTAGGGGGAATAAAACTAACAGTAGCGGATTATAACAATATCCGAGTAGCAGAAAAGACTCCAGAGCAGTGATTTTCAGCCTGGACTGTGCCAGCCCTGGCATGTCCCTGGGCCACTACTGAGGAAAGAAGGTGATTTTTTAGAAAGGCATTTCCATCAGTGCCATAAATAGCTCTATGCTAATACTCACCGCATCTATAGTGCTTTGAAAGAGGGGCTACACATCCAAAATATGCAGGGCTCCAGAAACCAAAAAGGGATTCAAAAAACTCTTCTCTCTCCCTCCAGTTTTGGGCTGTTTCTTTCCTGCTAGCTCAGGCCCGTTCCTGCGAGAGCCTAATGTGATTGTTTCAATGAAGCCTTTGAAGCTGCCTCATTAAGCCCTGTTCCCCTTCCAGCCTGTTGACAAGGCTGAGGACATGCTCAATTTTAGATCTCCTGAAAAGTTTAGGAGAGAAAAGAAGTGGGGAAGCAACAGCTCTCTGTAAGCAGATAACATTTACAAAGCACAAGCATCTTTTCCTAATTGCATGCTGCAGGGATCATCGTGAACTGCTTTCAGGCTTGCGTGCGCCGTTTAAACGGCTTTTTTGCAAAACTATGTGACATCAGCTGCACTGAATTACGCTTGCAGAGTAAAAATCTAAAGCTGAAAGCAATTCCCCTGCCCACTTCCCTGTGGTATTAAACTATCCTTGAGTTTAAATTGACACATTTCATCCTCAGCAACATGGTGGTGTGTCTTTGGCACCGCTGTGCTTTGTTTCTCTAGGGGCACCTTCCAGCAACAAGCCAGTGCTTAAAGAGCTGTTGAAGGCAATGTCAGGCCAATTACGGCAAGATTGGTTTAAGCTCTCTATCTGTCTAGGTATAGTTCTTTGTCCCTTTCGTGATATAAAGACATCTTTTACTCCCTGTAATTCTCCTTCACTTATTTGCTTGCTCTCGCTGCAGAGCCATAATTAGATGTAAGTAGTATAGTGGAAGTCTCTTCTAGCATAAATATACTGATAGGTATCAGCTATAATTTGAATGCGAAGAAGAAATTGAAAACCTATTCAGTATATTTAAGACTTAAATTCCCAGCTACAACTTAGCTTTATAACAGGATTAGGCAGCTTGAAAAGAACGGGCAGATCTGGCAGAGTTTGGTTAGCTCGCTCCATCTCCAGAGCTGGTCTTAGCCCAGAAATCCTTGAGCTGGCAATTTTCTCATTTGTTTTTAGTGTTTGGAAGAGTTTGAATGTTAAAACGCTAACCTAGTTTTGTTACATTTCATCCGTAACTGGAGAAAAGAAATTCATATGACTTACCATATGAAATTTCCCAAAGAGCATTAATGGTTAAATCCTTGTTGGAATCTCTAATATCGTAAGCCTGTGTGTTAAATGACCCTAGAAGGGAAGACTGAGGGGGAGGGGAGATAGGATTATCCCTTCCCCAGACCATTGCACTGACTCACATACCAGTCTGGCAAACATGGGCTGAGTTTCCAAGTGTGTCTGAAAATGTTTGTTTCACAAGGAGCCAAGAATGACAACACCAAATAAACCAGAGGGATTTCTAGTATCTCACCAACTTGATTAATGTCTGCGCTAAATCACTTCATGTTTCTAGTGTTTTATCAAGTGCAGCGACGCTCCTAAATTGGGAACATCCCTTTTTATTATCCTTTCAATCTAGACTTCAGTCTCAACCTAAAGAAAAAATGGTTGCTTCTAGAAGAGTTTCCAAACAAGTTCTGCCTCATGAGATTTAGCCTCCAGGTTCATGTCTCTGTTCAGACTCCAAAATCCATGCCACAAACACGACGATGAGAGCTCTTTGAAAGCGTCATAATGCATCCTAAGTCAGGTACCCCATTTGGACCCCGTTTTATAATCGAGTTCAGATTAGGGATTTGACCACATGTCTGGAGTCCCGTTTCCTTGGAGTAGCTCCTAAGTGTTCCAGAGGCAAATGCTTTAAAGTGCTGGAAAGTGGATTAAAAGGAGTCTTTGGAAATAACTGTGAGACAATCTAGTATGGCGATGAGCTACTAACCAGCCATAAATGTGCATTTGAACTTCCTTGACTTTCTGGTATGTTCAGATCTGAACTCATGGTTCAGGCTCTCGGTTCTCAGAGTTTCTGTTATCCTGTAATTACAGCACTGTTACAGAGATGCCCCAAGTGGACTGGTGCTTTACATAGGGTGAAATGTTGTTTCTGCGTTCAGCTCCATTTCTGCAGTCCTGGGTGGGCAGACGTGTGGTCAGGCCAGACCGGACATCTTCAAGACAAAACTTTTCTAAAGACAGTTTAGCCACAGCCTCCTACCATACATAGCCTAGAATGAAAAGAAGTGCTGTATTCAGCTGTGTCAGAACAGTGGGACACTCAGCAGTGTTGTTCCTGGGGACACTGAGCTCTACAGAGCAAGGGGCTTTGTTAAAATGACTTGGTGGCTTATGTTGAAACGAAGCTGTTTAGTCCTATGACTTTCAACCCTCTGTTTCCAAAATTCTGACTTTAATTGCCACTTGAGTCTGTAAAGAAAAGCATGTAGATGCAAATTACATGTAGCCAAAGAGCTTAAATGACTTCATATTTGACCTCACCTGCTGCAGCTAGAAACCAAGGAGCAATTATGTCCTTGTTTTTCCCATCAGCCCCTGACATTGTGTAGTGCGGCGTTATTGTAATCTCCTGCTTCTTTGTCCTTGGAGTCCGCTTCAAAATGTTTAATAAAGTCAAATGTTTAGCTTTAGGTGGCAAAAAGCATCAAGTTAATATGCAGAGATTTGGAGAGCGTTTATGTGCTGTGCGTCCTGAAGGCATCTCTTTTCGTGTTGGTCACCTTCTATATTAGTTCAAGATTTACTTCCCATATCTGTTATTTCTTTTATACTCATTAGAAAGAAACCTTTTGTGGGGAGCACGCGGGCAGCGAGTCAGACTGGACTTGCTCATTCTGCTTTCCATTCTGCTGCTGAAAACCCAGCAACTCTGGGCACGAGTAACATCCAGAAACCCAGCTGGTGTGAAACCTAGTGCAGAAAGAGAAGGGCTGACCAGGCATCCTAGGGACCAGACTTGAGGCTGGGCATGTTTTCTCCTCTGTTTTTGACTGCTTTGGTTTTCCTGTCTTGAAAAGGAAGATAAAAGCCGAGTGGGAGACTGATAACTGAAGGCAGTAGTGAAGACTTAAGGACACTTAGACAGCGAAGCAAAGCCTTTAAGTTAGGGATCGTCCAGGTTTCTTCTGCAGTCAGTGGCAAGGGATGAGATGCCCTGAAGGGTGAGTTGCATGGCAGATGAGTCACCTTTGGAGATTTCCGTTGCTCACTCCTGTGACTAAATAGGGAGCCCTAAGTAAGGAACTAACTCAGCTGGAGACATTAATCTCTGATCAGATTAATGCCATGCCAGGCACCCTAGTAGCACCAATCTTTAAAATACATTATAGACGGGGTAAAAAACCATCATCTCTTCTGCTTCTGGTCATCTTATGAGTTATACGTAATAAGAGTAGTTAAAGATCTGCAGACAAGAGTATGCTTTCTTTGAGCTGATGGGCTCACTGGCCCAGAATGGTCTGGCAAAGTGGATCAGCAGATCAGAGGTTACCTTAGCTAATGACTTCTGTACTCGTTATTCTACTGAAAGGTGCAATGTACAGTGCAACTGTCAGCTGGTTTCATTATTGTTATTATTGTGAAAGTATCTACAGGCCCCCATGGCAAACTCAGCATGTTCACGTTGTGTTGCACTGCTCATGCATTGGTCTTAATTACTTTTCATGTTACGGTTGTTAACGACCCTTGAAATGAATTCATGCTTCTCTGAAGTCCATCCATGCTGGCCAAGCATGTAGTAGATACAGGCAAGAGCAAGCCTGTTGTTTTCCAATTTGAGTGTTCTCGTGGTGATGCTACTTTACCATGGGCTTGATAGTTTGATTTCTTCTTCTAGTTGCGACACCAGCAGTGGAGCTTGGTGATGGAGAGCGTTGTTCCATCAGACCGAGGAAATTACACCTGTGTTGTGGAGAACAAATATGGCAACATTAGGCACACGTACCAGCTTGATGTATTAGGTGAGATTTCACTGTTTTCCCTTAACAGCTGATCTGTAGCATTGTTGAAGAGGTGCGTGATGAGGTATGGAAGCAGGAGTTTGGTTTACTTCCCAAGAGGCTTGATCATGCATCTTCTAAAGCCAACGAGAAACCTCCTGTTAACTCTGCAATTCAGCCTCAAATCCATGATCAGTAAATTGGTTTGCTGCTCTGCAGAGGGGCCGGAGAAGGAGTGGTGTGAGCGAGGCTGAGATGCCTCCCCCATTCCCGGTGATTCTTCCTAGTTCAGCTCGAGAAGCGGTGTCTGGGGGGTGGTCAGATGCCCAGGAGGCCAATCCCCAGTCTGTACCCCTCCTGCGGAAAAGCGGAAAGACTCACTGACACAAATCCTGCTGGAGCACCCTGAGCTACTGCCGCTGAGCAGGCATTGTGCATTCCTGACGACAGCCCCAAAGGGAGTAGAGGAGAGCCCTCACTGGAGAAAGGATGGGTAAATTTGGATCTGCCTATTTTCCTTTCAGAACGGTCACCCCACCGACCCATCCTGCAGGCGGGGCTTCCCGCCAACCAGACCGCGGTGGTCGGCAGCAATGTGGAGTTTCACTGCAAGGTCTACAGTGATGCCCAGCCTCACATCCAGTGGCTGAAACACGTGGAAGTCAACGGCAGCAAGTACGGACCTGATGGGACGCCCTACGTCACGGTGCTGAAGGTTGGTACGCGCTCCTTCTTCTCGCACCTCCGGGCCGTCCTTTCTCTGCCTTGTCTTGGTCCTGCAGAGTCGGCATCTGCCTTGTGCAGATACTTCTCAGAGAAACGTGCTGTCTGTGGTTAGGCTATACTCATGGCAGAAGAGATGAGCACCAAATAATGGTGCTCTCTATCAGTGGAGGCCATCAGCTTATTATTTATGTGTTTATAAATGAGTCTTGAACTAGATTTGCAATAGAAACCAGAAACTCCTGACAGAATATGCTCAATGCCACAGTTCCTAGAAGGGTAATTACTATTTAAATATCTGTGATATAAATCAGATTTTTGGGAGTTCCAAGTTTCACTTTTATATAACAGTTTCATGTTTATAAGAGAACATTTTGAGATTAAGCCAAGGACAACTGTTGGGATTGCTTTCTTGTAAGCCTGTGCAGTAGAATACTATGCTTTTTGGAGGGGTACAGCAAAAATGTCCTAAAATCAATGTTCCAAGCTCTTTTGTTTGCCAGAGATAACACAACTACTGTAGTGGCACAGATAAGCAAAGTAGTTGTAAGGGCCGAGGCAACTGTGAGAAACGCAGTATAATAACAGGGCAACTGTCAGATTGCTTTTGACCTAAAATTGTAAAAATATCTTTTTTTTTTACAGCATCAAGAGAGGTATTTTCAAAGCTTGTTAAAATGAAAGGCTCCTAACGAAAACACATTCTTTCCTTTTCCAAGTAAACATGCTGCAGCACACACGTATGCAGTAACGCTGCGCTATCAGCACCTGAGAGACCAGATAGTCTTGTTGCTCCAGTCACTAACATTTGTGAGCATTGCTATTACCCATGCTCAGGAAGGCCTTTTTTCAGTTGAGCAAAAAGTCACATAGTCAACTCACTGTTTTTAAGTGCTTTGCTAAAATGTTTTCTAGAAAGGCAGCTTCCAGACTGCAGCCAGAACAAAGCTGACTGGTCTGTTTTCTTCTCCTGAACCAATGCAGATATAAAAGGCAGAGAATACAGAGTAAAAAGCACATTAGCCTTTTAAAACAATCCCTTTTTTGAGTAATTAAAGGCACCCTGTGTTTGTATTTTTTTTAAATATATGGTGCCAAGTGCAGTTTTGCTGTGTCTGCAGTTATAGCTGAAAACAGAATTTGTCCCTTCCGTTTCAAGCTGAGGCTGGCCTCTGCGTGGACATTCCCCATGCGCATCCTGCTCCACACACCCTTTTTCTCTTTGTATGGAGTTAAAAAGAAATACACTTATCAAACAGCATCTACAAAACTGTAACTCAGCCAGATACACGATAATAAAAGCCAGGGACCCTGGAAATAATTACACAGATTGGAATAACAGATTGGTTGGAAGAAGTGGCTGGAGACAGTGCTTCAGGATTGGCAGCCTGCTCTTCTTGCAAGTTGATAAAACTTTCTAGTTTCTGTCTCTGTCTCAAAACGTGTTTGAATTATGCATATTTGAATTTCCCCCCTGGTTTCACAGCACAGTACCAAGCTCTGAATAGCTGGCTGTGTCACATGCCATCTAGTATAGTCTCCTAACTCCGTGTGTGGTCCTCATGGGATAAAGTGCTACCTTTTGGAAGTGTTCAGAGCCGCTGCGAACGGCGGATTGTGGCACAAGCACAAGCTCCCGTTTTGCTGGGGCAAAGAACATATAAATAGTCCGTATGAACAGTGTTTTAAAATTAAGTTTGAGCAGCACCGGGGTGGCTAGGTAATTAGAATTGCCAAATACCTTCTCTTCTGAGGGCCGCAAAGGCTCTGCATTCCTCGAAGGGGAGCGCGGGCAGGCGCTTGAAAGCACAAGTTTTGTTTGGTTTTATTTTTGCTGAATAGGACCAGCACACGTCTATTTACTACTTCTGGTTAATCAGGAATGCTTTGAATTGTCTTAATGCCGGCATCAGCACTGGGGCACGGAGCATTTCCATTTTGGGATGCATCTTTTGTGTGCCAGTACTGGGCCTCCGTTGAGCTGTATCAGGCCCAGCTTTGCAGGGATTTTTTTTTTTCCCTTGCTTTTTTTTTTGTTTTTCATGTGCTTGTTTTTTAATCGTAAAGATGAGATGAAACGATCTCTCTCTCTCATCTTGGGGCCAGTCCCACAGCTTGTTAGGGTCTTTCCCCCTTGCTCCGTGAAACGCTGCTGCTTTGATGCAGGTTCCTCAGGGTGCAGCTGGAGCAGGGTCCTGTCCGCAGGCTCTTCCCTGGCCAGAGCTGCTTTGGAAAGGGCTCTTTTTATCAGCCCGCCTTTCCCCCGTGCCTTCAGGAAACCTTTGTGGAGCTGCTGTGGGCCAGTTTGGGTGCGGAGAGTATCCCGGTCTCTGCTGGAGCCGGGGGGGGAAGGAGACGTGCCCAATACGTGAAATCCACCCCCCTCACATCTAAACTGGGGGGGGGAGAAGGGGGTGGGCGAAACCCACCCCGATGCAGATGATTAAATTGAACTTCCAACCTGTTTTTTAAGCGGCCTGACAAAACCAAGCCATCGCCTGGGTCAGCACCTGAAAGCCTGGGCTAACTTGCGGTCAAAGAAGAACCCTCCGCAGAGCGCTAAACGCAGCCCGGCTACGGGCTGGGGGCCGGCAAGGCGAAACTGCCTGTTGCTCGGCCCTGGCGCATGCACGGTTTAATTATAAATGAGGCAGCAACAGCAGGCAAGCGCGTTTCCTCGCTGGTCGGGGCAGACCAACTTGCCAGCGTGCAAGCGTTAGAGAGAGGAGATGAAGTCAAAGCCCGCCGCGAAACGTGGCCACTGGGGCTCCTTTCTGCTGCCACCTCTGGGCTCAGTTTCTAATACCCTATCAGATCTGATCGAGGTTGATTTTAATGGGCTGTGAGTCATCTTGGCAGGATCAGGCCCTGAAACTGGAGGCGTTGAGATTGGACGGGAGAGCCTAACAACAAAATCGGGAGATGCAAGCATTTTCTTTTCTTTTCCAGAACCGAAGCTGATATTTTGCTAGGCTTTCCCTAGGCTGTTTCTGAGACCACCCAAAACAGTTGTGTGTTTTCAACCAAAATAAAAACAACTGTTTAGGAACAAACTAATGTGCTGTTGTGGCAGCTTGGAAGAAGAGAAATAAAACGCTGCTTAGCAGTCTGAAGTTTGTTTGCTTTATATGCACCACTTTATTTAGTAAAGAAGAGGCTCCTATAAGCAGTGGAAAAAATTACAGCTAATTTCTGAAAGGCAAAGTCAGCAGCAAGTTTCAGACAGCCACTGCTTATATTTTGTTTCCAAATGCTATTTTGGAATCCGATAATTGAAACAGTATTTGCTGAGCTGGGTTGCAAACACAAATCTCTGCTTAAGCCCTTTCTCTGGTGCTCCTGTCTGCAGCGTTGTTAAGAAACCGTGGGGTCTGTGACTGCTGTCAGATGGAGAAGCGGGAAACTGTTATGTTTTAAAAAAAGAAACCTCGTGTGTGCCTCTAGCACGAGAACCACCCGGGAAGGGAAGGGAGCTAATGTGGTTTGGGGGCCAAATGCAACTTCTCTTCTTTGCCCAGGTCTTCGGTAGGTCTCTCACCGCAGGGTGAGCAGGGGGTGTTTCCACAGCCAAAAGAAAAAAAGTCATGAGCAGTCAATTCTAGCTGATATAGGTTCGATGGAGGTATTGTTTGGTTTACTGAAGTTCAGGTTTCTGTCTGTTCCTGCAGTCTTGGATCAGTAAAAACGCTGAAGCCGATGCTAACCTAAATCTGTTCAATGTGACAGAACAAGATGAAGGAGAATATCTGTGTAGAGCCAACAATTTCGTAGGCATAGCCGAAAAACCATTTTGGCTCCACATTCGCAAACCAAAACCAGGTAAACCACAGACTCTGTCCCAAGGCCCTGGCAACTGCAAGAATGAGCTATAACATTTTAAGAAGCTAGTGATTAAAATTACTATTCATTTTGTATTATACCCTGTCAAATGACGCTGAATGGCTTTATCTTATTTTCTTGCTAGATTTTTTTTACAAGAATGTAACGCCTATACAGCAATTGCCATAGAAAAATTCCCACAATAAAATGACTGTCAAATTTTGCTATCAACTCTTCATGCTTCTATTCCTTTCCCTTCCTTACAATTGAGTGCTGATAACAGAATTGCACGCTAATGACCTATGACGCGCAAAGCCCTGGAAAACCGAGCCATTTAAAGAGTTGTGCCCATAAAACTGATTTAATCGGCGCACAGACTTCAGTCCTTTTGAGCAGCAATTGAGAAATAAGTATCAACATTGACTCATGCAAGCAAACACGCGAAGCGGAGAGCAGCAGCGCTGTAGCGAGACCGTCGCACGCCTGGAGGCTCTGGCTGGTACGCGGCTCGATGACGCTGCGGGAGAGCTCCTTGCAGGGCACCTTCTTGTAACCAGCCAACGCTACCGCATCAAGAGCTCTGTAGCGAACATATGGCTTCAAAATGCCCATTCTGAAAATAACTCCAGAAAGTCCTTCGATACGCGATGAACTGATAAAATATTCAGATGTTCGTCTGGTCAGCACTTAAATCTTTCCCCACTACATCTCCCCTCCTTTCTCGTTTCTTTCTGTCTTTTTCTCTTTACATGCCTTTTCCCCCCCTGTACTCACCCTACTAACCAAAAGTCAGTCATATTGTGGGGTCAATTTTTCATTTGGATGCTTTTGCTTGCATGCTTCTTTAGTGGGACAGAGTAAGAACCTGGTGAAGGGAACTTTTTTTTTTTTTTGCTTTGACTACAGGTTGCAGAGGGGAATGAATAAATAAAGGTGGAAGATGGGCCGTTGGAAAAAAAAAAAAATCTTAATCTGCTTTTTGAAATTTGCCTGTGGTGTCCTCACACTTGCTGGGAATGTGGCTTTTTCTCTGTTTTCCTTCTTTCTATATGTGTGTGTTTTTTTTCCCCCGTAGACGGCAGGTGTTAACACAACGGATAAGGAGCTAGAGATTCTGTACTTGCGAAATGTTACTTTTGAGGATGCTGGGGAATATACTTGTCTCGCAGGGAATTCTATTGGGTTCTCACATCACTCTGCTTGGCTGACGGTTCTACCAGGTATTTCCTTCTGCTCTGTCCTCTCTCTTTCCTCTCGAGGATGCCTTAATGTTGAACATAGAAATGCCAAGTTCCTGCAAACGCTCCCTTGCTTGGGAGAGGGCGCGTGGGCCGTTACGCAGCCTGCGTGCAAGGGCGAGTTCTCCGCTGTGATTTGCTATGCAGAGCGCTAATCTGCGCTGCAGGTATCCCTGTTGCATATTAATAGCTGGCATATTAATTTTGTGCTTCATCTCAGGATTTAAATTCATTTTCTAGATCGCAATAATGATACAAAATGCCCTATAACTTTTTTGATTCAGATAACAGGGAGGTGTTCATGGCATCTACTTTAGGACTGTCTTTAGGTGCCAAAATTAAGAGCTTCATCTTCTTACACTGCCTGTGTACTCAATGGGAGAAGGAAACTCTCCCACCAGATGATCCAGGGCTCCTAAACTGGACCCTGACTGTGGATCATCTTAGGGAGAAACCTTTCTGTGTAACCTCATATCTTACCTAAAATTAGATGCAGAAATAGTTGGTGTGAGTACACCCTTCCCTGCCTGTGGCATTATTTCCGCTTCACGGATGAACAGGCCAAGATAGCTATCTTAAACAGAAGGTCGGCAAGAGTCATCTGCAGGCCGTACCCAGGAGTCCTGGCTCCCAGAGGCATTGAATACTGGTTGCTGCAGCTGAAATCAAGGAAAGCTGCAGTGGGCTTAAAACCCCAGGTCAGAATGACCTCAATTTTGTGCGCTTTTCACGTGCAAAGCTCTGGCTGACAATGAAGCCAACGCAGAATATGCAACAGCGGGATCTGCCCTCCAGGAGAAGAGGAGGAGTCTTTGCTGTCCCTTCACCTGCGCAATTGGCCTCTGGGTGAAGGGCAGGCATCAGCACAGTCCAGGAAGACATCTCAGGCAATATTCACTTTGAAGCCAGCGGATGCTGTGCCTGCAGAAATTGCAGGAACAGACCCAGAGTATTTTCAGTAGGCCCTTACAAAAGCAGCGGGCACATGAAATCCTGTACGTCTCTCTTTGACTTCTCAGCTGTAGACCACATTTGGATGTATCTAGCAAACACATCTGTCTCCAGATGTGTTTTGGAACTGGAAACTTTGGCATTTCTAATCCTGACTTCAACTCTGTCGGTGATTCGGTCATAATCACTTTTACTGGGGCTCAAGAGGGTTTCCTCCACACCTGGCCCTGCTGCAGGTGGGATCTGCTGGTCTTATCTCTGTTTATTTGCTAGCTCTAAAATAGCTTGGTGTCTGATTCTGTTTCTGCTTCTGCCATCCCCTAGATGAGAAATCATTCCCTTTGGTTACACCGCTAACTTTTCTGTTATTGTAAGGATTTCCTGGTATTGTGTCATTCGACTGTTACGCTGTTTTCAAAATGTATGAAATCACACGTCCTATCTAAGCAAAGAAGGAAAAGAAAAAGCCTTGAGTGGAACTTTATAGTGAAGTCAGATGTCGTGAAGGGCAGCTGTCAACACAACAACACTGCCAGCGCGACTTCATTATAAAGCTTTCTACTGCTGGCCGTTCCTCGAATGCCCCTCTGCCTTTGGGGGACAGAAGACCGGCCTCACAGTGGCCCTTTCCACGGTGGAAGTGCCTGTCCTGAAAGGAACAAGGGGGGACTCACAACTGAGCTTGGCGTGTCCCGAAAAGGCCTTACTAGCTGGTAGCTATTGGTCGTGGTGCTGATGGGATCATGCCGCAGTCCTCCCGGCTCAGCGATCCTCCTGGGCCAGCCCTTCCAGCCTCTTTCCCAAATAATTAAATTATCGTGAAACAATTATGTATATTTCTCTCATGAGACTTTTTCCCCAGTTTGAGGCCTTACCCCTGGAAGCCCTTTGAGCCCCTTGGTCCTTCAAGGCAGGCACAGGTCTGGTGGAAATCTTCACTTGAGCGCAGTGTCCGCACAGCATCTCTTGTCAATGTGGCCTGATAAGTAAAGTAGAGCAAAACCCCATCCTGCAGTCTTTGCACATCCAAGGCATCCAGTTTTTCGGTGTGGATGTGTGGAGAAAGCAGGATCTGGTTCAGAGGAACTACGCAGCCACATGAAGATGCGTTCAGTCTAGAGCAGTGGTTTTCAACCAGTGATCTGAAGGCCTGGAGAAGCCCAAGGATTACATCAAAGGGCAGTAAAATTACCCAGTAAAGGCAGCTAAGGCAACCTAAACTAATGTCAGCAGGCTTCGGTTTGCTACAGCAAAACCTGCTGCACTGGAATCACCAATGGTGGAAAACCACTGGCCTAGGAGAGTCACCTCGCTGAAGTTAGCCTGAAAACTGGCATAGATGAACAATTCCTCCCCAAACTGTGCGTGTTGCGTGTGTGTAGTGGTGTGAGGGCGGCCACCTACCCGCTCCTGACTCCCGTCTCTTGTCTCCCTGCAGCGGAGGAGCTGATGGAAATGGATGATTCGGGCTCAGTGTACGCTGGCATTCTCAGTTACGGCACCGGCTTTGTTCTCTTCATCCTGGTGCTGGTCATTGTGATTATCTGCAGGATGAAAATGACAAACAAAAAAGCCATGAACACACCTACTGTGCAGAAAGTCTCCAAATTTCCACTCAAGAGACAGGTAACAGAAAGTAGATACAAGATTCCTATTCCCTGCTATGGTCACTCCTGCTTTTTTTTTCCTTTTTCTTTCCTTGAGCTTTTCTTTCTAGGTGAGAAACTCCTCCAAAAGGACATTGCCTGAGAGAGGCATAAGCAGGCTACAACTTAGCAGCGTAACCCTCTTTTTTTCATTCACTTCTGTTGCAGTGGAGTTGTAGTTGGTGACAGCTGTCTCTGGCTCTTAGGCAGTGTCCAAGCACCCGCGTTTATGTAGCTCTTGTCAAAGAGGCGCTTGCAATGCAGTCACGGATGCCATGGAAAACGAACGTTGCAGGGGAACAGTTTAGTCCGGGCTCCTTAGTGGGGTGGCAGCAGCTTGAGGAGCAGGAGCACAATTAATTGTGCCTGTTCCTGCTTTCAGTGAGGTCCCTGGCAAACTCGTAGCAATGCTCCTGGAGCTGGGAGAGGGTCCCCTTTCTCCACGTGGGGTGAAAGTGCTCTGCTGCTTGGAATTACAGAGTGGTGGAAGCAAAAGGCACCGTATAAAACGAGACAGTGAGGTGACACGGGCTTCATGGCTTTGCCTGCAAGCTCCTGGTGGGCATTTACAGTGGAGGGGAGGAATGGGTTATATGTGGCTGCTGGGAGTCCCCCCGCTGAAGTGTGCTGCCTTAGGCTGCTGGGCTGTCCCTTGCTTCCCCCTGCTGAAGATGTGACCGTGTATGCCGAGCTCACGCATTCCTGCAAGGATGGGGGGAAGCGAGAGAAGAGGGTTGCAGGGTTGCATTTCCAATATAAAAATTACGGAACGGCATCAGTGAACAGAGATAGTTAAAAACCCCGAAGTGATGTCTCTGAGGCATGTGTCTTCTCCGCTTACGCACGCTGAGAGTACAGTTGGCAATAACACTTCATTTGCTCTACCCAAGCAGGTGTCACTGGAGTCGAACTCTTCCATGAACTCCAATACGCCCCTGGTCAGGATTACACGTCTCTCCTCCAGCGACGGGCCGATGCTGGCTAACGTCTCCGAGCTGGAGCTGCCTCCCGATCCCAAATGGGAGTTGGCACGATCTCGGTCAGTCTAGCTCATGGGCAGGGTCCCTGTTCCTCCCAGGAGCCTCCTCTCCCTGCTACCCCCTAACATGCGTGCTTGTTCCTCCCTTCAGCCTGACCTTGGGGAAGCCGCTCGGCGAAGGATGTTTTGGCCAAGTGGTGATGGCGGAAGCGATTGGGATTGATAAGGACAAGCCAAACAAGGCCATCACAGTGGCTGTCAAGATGTTAAAAGGTATGGGGACTCCATGGCGGGCAGAACAGCATACTGCGGTGGGGTTTCCTCTCTCTTTTCCTCTCTTTCACAAAGCAATTTTACGTGTTTTATACGAACAGATCCAGCAGAAGAAACCAAGAACAACCTTTCTTCCACTGCACCCCTATAGCCTGGGGGTGAGGGCTCTCCCCTTGGAGAGGACATAAAGAAGAAAATCCTGGCAGGGAAAGAGAATGGGAATAAACCTGTGTCTCTGCTAAGGGGTGCTGAGGAGAAGGGGAACCACCTTCACTTCTAGCCAGATCCCCAAACTGCTTTTTTTCTTTAATCGGTATCAAAATGAAGCAGAAGATGAAAGGTTTGAGTTATTTACATATTAACATTTCTCTCCATTTATTCAGATTTCCTTTTTGACCAAAGATTTTCTTATTTTAGGGCAGTTTTTTATTTTTATTTTGACTCTTCTCCCCAAAGTGGAAGAAAAACAAATACTGAAATATTTGAGAGGACTTCTTCCCAATCAAAGCCTTGCATGGCTACCCAGCAGTTATATAAACTGCTTCACAAAATGCGTGTTTGCTCCCTGACGTTTTCTTTCTCCTCCTCTCTTGCTTTCTCCAGATGATGCTACTGACAAGGACCTGTCCGACCTGGTCTCTGAGATGGAAATGATGAAAATGATTGGGAAACACAAAAACATCATTAACCTCCTCGGTGCCTGCACACAGGATGGTACGTCTTGACACGCGGCAGGTGCTCGCAGGGCGCCACCAGCCTCCATCTCACAGGTCACTGCCACATGTGCAGCTTTGCTTTTGGCAACCCTGCACAGCTGCTTCCGCAGCAGGTCCCCCCTTGGAATAGGTGCTGGTGGCTGGAGCTGATCTGTGCTGAGGGGCTTTTCCTCCTTCCTCCAAATTGCTCACGAATGAACTGCCTGACACCTGTCCGTGCCCCACTGATGGCCCAATAGCTGGCGTTGGTGGCAGGTCCCTACTCGTTCCTGATGCTGTGCTTTGAATTGGGTTGCGGCTTTCCCTAAGGTCCTCCCTGATATCCTCCTCGCTTTTCTCATTAGTATGAAACAATGTACTAGAGAGAGGCAAGATTTGGCTATCACTTCTATTTAATTACTCGCTGGCTGCCCAAAATGTCCACAGCCAGATTTCGGAGGTCAGGCACTGCAATTGTGCCAACTCTTTGGAAGTGAGAAAGTCAAGCCAAAGCCTCAGGGTCTCCCTACCCCTCATACGGTCTCGACAGTGTTCTCCGAGGGTGTCAATGCCAGGAAGACTCTCTGGAGGGAGATCTGCTTCCCAGAGGTGGCACTGCATGCTGTCCAGGAGATCTGGCCAGCTGTCAGATACCTCTCCTGGTCTCCTAGTTTCATCTCTAGCTTTCCTCCTGCTGCAGCTGAAGACATTCTTCCAGTGTATTTAGCCTCATGCTGTCACCCAAATGCAGATAGGAAATGAGGCTTGGGCTGGCCGCATGACTTCCCAAGGCATGGAGACATGAGGTCCCTACTTGCCTGGCCCCCTCACGGTGCTTGCTTTTGCTCTGCCAGCTGCTGACCGTGCTGTTGCTTGCAGGACCGCTCTACGTGTTGGTGGAGTATGCGTCGAAAGGGAACTTGCGGGAATACCTCAGGGCACGCCGCCCACCCGGCATGGACTATTCTTTCGATACCTGCAAGCTGCCGGAGGAGCAGTTAACATTTAAGGACCTGGTTTCCTGTGCCTACCAGGTGGCCCGTGGCATGGAGTACTTGGCGTCTCAGAAAGTGAGTTGAGAAACCTCATTCTGTAAAAGCGTCACTCAGACCCATGTCTTCAAGGCCAGGCAGTGCAGTGTGTGTGCAGGACAACCCGCAGGCAAAACACTGCAGGCTTTTCCCTTTAGAGGGCAAGCTTTTACAGCATGAAATGCCTTTTTTTTTTTTTTTTTTTGCGCAGAAGACCTAAGCGCTAGAAGGCTGTTTCTGTGTGCAGGCTGCATCACAGCCCTGGCTGTTACCCACAGGCCCAGTAGCGTCTCCGGGAGGCACAGCTGTAAACACATAAGCCACCCCAACCTCAGCGCCTGTCCTCAGCAATTTAACTCTACCACTCGTAGGAGTAATTGACTTTCCAATGGGTGATCCTCAGCCTTGAGCAGCAATGGTCAGGGTGAGCGTCACACAGGTTGTAGGCTTCCCACCTCCCTGGTGTCAGCACAAGAGGAGGTCACCTTGGGGGGAATTACTTTAGACAACAGAGTTTGGAGCTTCATGCAGCCCTGTCCCCCTCAGCTCCCTTCTGAGATTGCTAAAAATATAGAGCGCTCAATAGGAAGTAGGGGTGCTGCATGCAGCACACATGCTTGTGGCTGTCGCAAGCATGCATAGCCTAGGTTGAAGTGGAGCTGCTGATGGATTTGGCTCGATACGTGGCCAGGTCCAGGATGCTCCCTGGGGAGTATTTTGTTGGCATTGAGCTGGTTGCTGCGTTGGCTCACGTCTTGCCCCTGGGATTACTCCTGATTTACCCTGACATCAGCAAGCAGAGAATCTGGCCTGTGGGTTTACTAAGCTGTGCGCCAGCTGGTGTAACCTCTTTTTGGGGTAGGGAGAGCTAAGGCAAGAGCGAGTTCAGCTTCAGATTTCAGGTGTGTTGGCCCTGTAACTGCAGTTCAGAGTGGTTGGTTTATGGTGGCTTTAAACTCTCTACCTAAGAGAGTGCAGGCTAATTTAGCTCAGATTTTCTCAGATAACGACCACAGTGAAGATGTCTTGGGAATGTCTTAATTTGATTTTTTTTTTTTTTTACTCCAAACATCAACCTGCACTCTGCTTCCTGGAGGAGGCAGGGCAGCGAGTAGATGCCCCGCAGAAGAGGAGGGTTTGATTTCCCGTCTGCACAGCCCCTTTGGCGAGAGGAGCTGTGTGGCCGTGGGAGCGCCGAAGCTGTCAATTAGGTGTTGCTAAGAGGTGTCTCCCACTGAGCATGCATGATGCAGCAGTGACACAGAAAGCAAGGAACTAAGCAGTGCCCACAGCTTTATGAGCTCAGGAGTCAATGAAATGGCAGCTCATAAACTCCCCGTTACTGGTGGCTCCAGGCGCAAGCAGCTAACGAGCCCAAATTTATTTACTTGCTCACCTTTCACAGTGCATTCATCGCGACTTGGCAGCCAGGAACGTGTTAGTCACTGAAGACAATGTGATGAAAATAGCCGATTTTGGCCTCGCTAGAGATGTTCACAACATCGACTATTACAAGAAAACCACCAATGTAAGTACCGAGCTGCCAAGCACATGCATTTTTCCTTCTGGCAGGGAATTCAGCCATCGCTGCAGCAGACGGCCCTAATTCCACATCTCCCTTTTCAAAGGGACTTAGGAGGAAGAAATCTGCTGGTGGCCTGACCTGTAGACAGGCTGGCCCCAGGAGTCTACCCACTATCCATTTTCTCACTGACAGATACTGCTGGCGCTAGCAACTGTTTGAAAGGACTCGGCTCAGCCAAGGACGCTCTAGACTAAGAGAAACCAAGTTTTTTATGAAAGGGGAAAGTAGCAACGGAGCAAAAGCTGCAACTATAATGTAGCGTGGAGATGGCAATGGGATAGGTTGAGGGTATTGCAGAACCCAAGAGCCTTGCAATTGCAAGGAGTTTCAATGCACCTGCAGCCCTAGGAAGCCCACCTTGCCCTTACTGCAGCAACAACCAGACTTAACTCAACCCAGAATCCTACTGATCCCTTCCAACATCACCTGGGAGAAACCTGCCTTAATTACCGGTCTTTATCTTTGGAATTGTAATTCTGGCTCCAATGGATTTACCCCTGTTGGAGAGCTGAGAATGTAGTGCCATTTGTGCAGCCCTTCTCTAGCTGTGCCCCGCGGTGAGATAGTGGTTCGGAAGAAGACAAAGCCCTCCCTAAAGCCAAATTACACCTCAGACAAGAAACGATCTGCTCTGACCCCTCCAGGGACAAAGCAGAGCATCCTGATACAGGATGGACCCATTGAAACCTGGCATCAAGCCTCCTCCTTTGGCCTTCGGCGGGATGGAGATTGGGTTCATAGAGGATCTGGCCCTTGAATTCACTCTAGCAAGTTTCCCTTCTCATTTAGCAGAAGCAGCGCTTGGACTGCGAGCCAAACTGCTTCTTCAAAGCACAGAGATGGAGCGCGTCGCCCCGTGCGCTGCTTCAGAGCTAGCTGCGTTTATGAGCAATAGCTGCTGCTCCCACGCAAAGATTTAGATGCTCTGATACGTTAAACCTGCCTTGGCAGTGACATACAGTCCACTGTAGAGAGCGTGTTTCCCGCGAAAATAGCCAGGGAATATCCAGGGATCAAATGCTCTAATCTGTTTAGATGTGGCCACTCCTGCTTTGCCCAGTGACCGGGAAGGCAGATGTGGTTGTTAATGAAAATGTTTCAAACTGGATTAGAAAAGCAGATTCAGATGGTGCCGTTGTGGCTGAGCAAACATGCTGATGGGACGTTGCCTTTGTCTTCCTAATTACAGGGTCGGCTGCCTGTGAAATGGATGGCTCCAGAAGCATTGTTCGACCGGGTCTACACTCACCAGAGCGATGTGTAAGCATTACCCCCACTTAAACAAAAAAATAAAATTATAGCAAAATAAACGCCATGAGATCCCAAAGGCAAACGCAACACTAAACACAAACAGGGCTTGTGCGCTGCTGAGGGGGAGAGGTGGACGGAGCGATTCTGAGCTGCAGCTTTGTACATGTGGTTTTGCTTTACCCTTATCTAGTTGCTTTCATCTGAGGATCTCCAGGAGTTTCTGAAAGTAGTAAGGCAGGCAGGTATTTCCCATCCGGTTTATGGATGAGGAGATTCATCCTGTGGTCAAAAAAACAAATGCAAAAAAAGCCTCATACAAAAAAAGTTACCCTTGACTTCAGTGCAGACAGTTACACTTCACTGGAGTACGTGGGATGAGTACTGAAATATCCTGCCAGGTGTTAGTAGAGGTGATCAGAGAATATTCAACTCATGCATTCTCTGATTAATTTTGCCGCGTCGTTTAATTTGCCCTTCTTTTTCTAATCCTGTCTTGTCCATGTTAGTGCCTCCACACTGTAAGCAAACAGAGCCTGAAGGAGGTGATAAATCCATCAAACTGCTATCTTAAAGATGGTTCGTTCTTGTTTTCCTAACAAGTGGATCAGTCTAGGGAACAGTCTGAGATCCCATTTGAACTTTGTCCAGGCTGAAGTAGCTCAGTATGCACGCTGGCTTTTTTATTTCAATATTTGGTCGATATTGGCATTTTTACAGTAATTTAGCAGGCAGTCTGCACTCTCCCCAGGGCTCACCATTTTAAATTGGACAAATTTATCTTTTCTGTTTCTGTAAATTTCACATGCTTTGGCTTTATTGATCTTAAATCATAGTTTCCATGCTTAGGTAATGCTGCAGCGGGCACGATAGATAAATCAAAGCTGGGGGGAGAGAGAGAGCATGCACGAAAGAGAAACAGAGACAGATAATCCCTGTCTTGAAAAAGAAAACGAAGAAGGCAAAAGATATTTTTGAAAAGGGGACTTTTAACCAGAGCACAGCTGCAGGACTGGAGTGTGTAACATATAGTGTTGCGCTGATTTTTGTTGGGGTATTTTTCTCGCAGCTTGGCCAGTGGAATGAGTGTTGTAACAAGCAAGTTTTGGTATCAGCTTGCACAATTAGTGGCCTGTGGTTCCAAGGCTGCGATTCAGTGAAGCTGTGCATGAATAATTTGATTTGTTCCATTCAGTGGAGCTGGTGGAAGACCTAACAAAGAGCTGGGGGTAATAGATGGGCTGTCACCTATCTGATTAAATGCTCATTTCAATTTCAGACTTGGTGCCTGGGATTTCTTTGCTATTGAGTTGGATCAGCAGAGATCTCCAAGTAACTAGTAAAAATGGCCTAGGCAATTAGTCATGCTATTGATGACTTTGTTAGCTATGCATGGCTGCACAGAAAGAAAGTGGAGCGGGGGGCAGGGAGGCGGGCAGAGAAAACCTCATTGAATTTTAAAGATCTTTCTTTGGTTTCCAGCTGGTCTTTTGGAGTGCTACTATGGGAGATCTTTACGCTGGGAGGGTCTCCATACCCGGGAATTCCCGTCGAGGAACTCTTCAAGCTCTTGAAAGAAGGCCATCGGATGGACAAACCCGCCAACTGCACTCACGACCTGTAAGTAACCTGCTGCGTCCCCGTCGCGCCTGACGGCGCTCCTCCCCTTGTCCCAGCCTCCGTTCGCCCTCTCCCCAGCCGCGCCGTAGCCCGAGGAAGCGTCGCAGATCGCCTGCCGCTGTCTTTTCCCACCCAACGCTTGGTCACCTGAGGTTCCTCCAGGGAACTGTGGCCACCAGCTCCACCACTCTGCTGTGTGGTGGAGTTGAGGGAGAAGTAAACCAGGAGCGAATGTGGCCCCGCTGGCAGAGGAGAGCGATACTGAGCTCCTCCACCTGGTCCTGGCACCACACATCAGGGACGTCTCCTCTGGGATGGAAACCATTGCTCGGAGGCCTGTTTGGTGTCCCAGAAAATGTCATAATTCCAGTTGGCTCCTTCCTTGGTACTTCAGCTCCAGTAACTTCCCAAGCGGGTGTGAATTAAGGAACATTTTGTTGCCCATGTCTGACTCCCCGTGGGGACCCAAGCAGGGAAAGCAACGGTTCTTCACATGTGGGCCACGTTATCGGCCCTTCCCAAGCTCATTGGCCCCACAAGTGCTGTGGCACAAGCAGGACCTGCCTGATGCTTCATGCTGGTCCCTCCTGGAAGTAGCACTGCCCATAGCCTTCAGCTCAGGTTGGAGAGATGTCAGGAGTCGCCTGATTTCAGGAACCACCTAAAGTAATTTCGGGTCCCCCTGCCGCCCCCCTCAGTCCCAGCAGAGCATCGGGTGCGGAAAGGGCTCCGAGAGGTGTCCCACGGCGCCCTGGGTGATGGCATCTCCCCCTGCCCCGCAGGTACATGATCATGAGGGAGTGCTGGCACGCGGTCCCATCGCAACGGCCGACCTTCAAGCAGCTGGTGGAAGACCTGGACAGGGTCCTCACCGTGACATCCACTGACGTGAGTGTGGCTCTGCTGCTGGCACGGGGACGCGGGGAGCCGCGGATGCTCCCCCAAGATTTTGCGCCGTATCCCCAGGGTAACATCTCCTGGCTTTCTCCCCTCGCAGGAGTACCTGGACCTGTCGGTGCCCTTCGAGCAGTATTCACCAGCTTGCCAGGACACCCACAGTACCTGCTCCTCAGGAGACGACTCCGTTTTTGCACATGACCTTCTGCCAGATGAGCCGTGTCTCCCCAAGCACCAGCAGTGCAACGGCGTCGTCAGGACGTGATGGCCCACCACCCGGAAAGCTGCATGGACGGATGGACAACAGACGTGAAGGCGCGAGTGCGGGTGTGGGGGAGGCCGAGGACAAACCGTAGTGAAGGATCTTTCAATGAAACTGTTTGGTAATTCCAGAAGATTTTTGTTGTTGTCGAGCTGTTCAGGGTAATTTTTTTTTTTCCCATTTGCTGTACAAAAAGTCAAGAAGCACTGTTTGGCCTGAAGGAACTAATCTCTTGCCAAGATTATATATCGTATATGATTTTTTATTTTTGTTTTTTCTAAACAGAATGTTAAATCTGGGGGGTGCTGACCTCTCCACCTCCGGTATTGTATTACCGAGTGCCAGATTAGCCGTTCTGTGCCTGCAATACAAAGAAGAGAAAAAAAATCTTCCTTAAAAAAAAAAAATGTGTAAAGAATGTAGAAATTCTTTGCTTATGCAATCTGTACATGAACCTTTTTGGTGGAGCTGAAAAGCCACGTTGCCTGCAGGGATTCATATATTTATAAAGAATATCTATATTTTTGTTGTTGTTGTTTTTATAGCTTCGTGATCTATTACCCAGCTACTTAGAAGGAATCTTTTTTTTTTTTTTTTTGGGAAGAAGAAGAAAAAGTAAATGAATAAGATGCAACTAATAATAAT